AACAAGTTAAATCCCACGTTAAATAATAAACTAAGCCTTTGTTCTTAGGGAAAAAAAAAATGCTGTAAATGTCCTTCATTTCAATATTGATCATCCCTACTATTATCGTGAATAACTATGAAACGTTTTGGACAAATCTTCCAAAATGAGCTTCAATACAATGTTCCCCTATTTACCTTCATATTATTGTGCTTTCTATCTCATCAACATTTATTAAACTGCATAAAAACTGTTTGATTATATGTTCGACTCTCTAGTAGGTTGAGGTACATATATAATAGTAAATGTTTGATCACTCAATCAATAAAATAATGCTATCAACAGACGAGGGGTAGTCATTATCTGTAAGTGTATATGGATAGGTGCTTTATGAAATGACACCTGATTATAGATAGTCCCTGACTTACAATGGTTCTACTTTGCTGAATCCTGAAGCCACATTACATCCTTAAATTAAGAATTGGGGCCATAGGGTACTGTATAAACATACTAACTTCTCATCAATTATTATTGGCTTATGATAAATGTAGCAGGTAAATGTTTATGAGAAAGATTTTAGAAAAATCCTAAATGAAAGGAGCCCCTTCAAAAAGACAACTATACAAATATTATAAACAATAGTGTAGAAAAATGAATTTTGAAGTGATTTATAGTAGTGCAATGCATATTTAAATGAACCTGGCTGCTTCCAATTGAATATTAATGTTTTGAATTGCTATTAGTCTTCTTTAAAATATGATAGCATATTTTCAGCTTAGATTAAATTTGTTAAACTTTGGATTTTCTTTATTTTGTTGACTTTACATATCGAGTTGAAGGAATAAGTCCAGAATCAACATCTAAACTATCTGAATTCCTCTACAACCCTGAAAACAGATGGGATAAATCATTGAAAGTGTACAGTCTGGTACACAGGATTGATTTGGTAATTTGTTACTTAACATTGGACTTTTACTGTATTAATATATTTTTAGTTTTCTATCTCAGTGATTTGAGTTTATTAAACCTATATTATGTAGACACATTGGATTTTATAGATTCAAACTGAGTTGAAGTCTTTATAAAAGCCGTAAAAATTCCTCTTTTTATTAGTCAAGTTTAATTCCATTTAGCTTTATTCTCTTTTAAATGCATACCACACTGTGAATCTGGTCAGCTCTCTTGCAATGGGTGCCTTTGGTTATGCATTCATGGATTCACCTCCTCCATTAGGGTGCAGAAAAAATTAGGCAGGCCTTGCTGGTGGGAAGTCAGTACATTTATCTTACTCATAAAATACATTAGATAACAGGAGCAATGCAGCTTACTATAGGGACTTAACAAATACATGTTAACTTTTTTTAAGTAGGGATACTATATGAAATAACATTATATAGTTGGTTATAGTTTTAAAAACACTTTCAAATGCATTGTCTCAGTTGAATAGAGATGAAAAGAGAATAAAAACAAAGAGAAAAAGAAAAATATAGGTAATCGTAATAGAAAATCAAAGCCATAAAAACGAGAGAAAGGAAAATGGAATGCGGGACGCAAGTAGAGCTTGGAAGGAGAGAGAAGGAACGATCAGTGTGAGATGAGGGTGGAATGAAAGCTCAAGAGGAGAGAGAAGTGAATGAAATGAGAGGAAGAATGAAATGTGGTGAAAAGCAGTAGAAACAAGACAAGTGAGGTAAAGGATTCCGAACTTTGGGTTGGCTCACTGTAGGTCTCTTATTCACTAATATTGCTATACTTTATGGTATGTAAATTATACCCCAGCAAGCTGTTTTTAAAATTGAGTCCTGTTTTTTTACCTAATAACAATTCTATTAGAAAAAGGTGGTAAATCTGAATATGAAGTAAAGCTAATTTTTATGATTTTTCACAAACAGTTGTATTTGTCAAATTCTAGGTCACTGGATCTTCGATTCATTGAATCAACAAGTCACAAAAATGTCCCACATATCTGTCATCACTTTATCACTTATTTAGAACTCTGTAGGTTAACTTAACTTCTGTTTTTTTAATCAAAGTATCATTGATACACAATCTTATGTTGGTTTCAAATATACAACACAGTGGTTCAAAGTTTCATTAAAAATTCAAAAAATAGATGATATCGAGATTCCTTTCTGAATTGTCTGCACTTTTGTCGACTCCATATCAGATAAATTATTTGGAAATATTTTCTCCCATTCTGTGGGTTACCTTTTCATTTTGTTGATGGTTTCCTTTGCTGGGCAGAAGCTTTTAGGTGTGATGTAGTATCACTTGCACATTTTTGCTTTTGTTGCCTTGCACTTATAATTATAGATCTAAAGTTCCTTTAACACCGAAAATGCAAGCTGATCT